GAAAGTAAGTTCAACTAAATCAAAATTATATCACTGAATTTTAGCTAAACATCATTGCCTACGGCTTTGAGTTGAAACCTACTCTCTTTGTGGTAAAAATTTAGTCTTGAAAATAGAGTCGTGTGTCACATTACAAGGCTTCCATGAATGACAGAACACATATATCATGGCAGTACCATAAGATTACATTGTCTAGTGACATTACACCCATCTTGGTTTGTTAAAGTGTACTCTATGATGTTTACACAATAACAAAACCACTTAACAGTCTTCTCATAACATATCCTCTTTTTTAAATGATGCATGACTCTATTAAATGTTAAAGACATAAGCTTTAAACAGAATTTCTTCTAGACTAAACAAAAATCACAACAGACATGACACTACTGTAACACATTGTGTGGTGTGTTTAACAAGGACAATTTAAAGTAATAATAATAATTACTTCCTTGGAATACAATTCTCATGTGTTTGTTCCTGTGTTTCATTAATGTAAAATTATCTTCATTTTTGACACTTGCATTTCTATCCTTTAGTTTCTTTTTCTTTCTTCTTTTTTTTTTTTCAAATGTTGACTTAGGCAGCAAAAACATGGATTATCAGTCAAAATGTTTTGGCTGTAAGTAAAAGAAAAAGAATTTCAGGCTCTGTAGGTTTATAGAGAGGGATATTCACATTACATAATTGGTTCATAAGTAGTAGGATGGTTCCAAGCCAGTCCACATCATGAAAGACTCAAGTTCCTTCCATCTTTGTGCGCTGCCAACCTCTAGGTACTGGCTTTACTTTTGTTCCAATTTCCATCATGATTTTCCGATGGGTGACATACTATCAGACATCACCTGCAGAGGTAGCAGTGTCCAGCAGAACAAAAATGTTTTTTCCCTATGTCATTCTTCCTAAAAGATTCTCCCTCATCCCAATAAGTTTTTATCATATCTTATTGGCATGAATTCTGTCACATGTTCACACTAACCAAATGGTTCCTCCATCCCAGGCGAGCCGCCCATTGGCACATGGAGCAGAGTTACCACCACTGAACAAATACAAGATTCCTTTTTTTTCCCCCCCTCATTGAATTTATTGGTACATTTTAGGTATACAGTACAGTTACATTCATCATTGGGATCTTGTACCTTTATGTGACAGGTCTTGGTTCTCATTTTTTCCCCTTGTCCCTGCCCTCCCTTCACCCCCTCCTCCATTCCCTATTTACAAATACTTTATTTCCATTTTTTCATTTTCTCATATTTTTTCTTTTCCCTTATTTCCTTTCCCCTACCCTTCCCACTTCCCCTACACCTTTAGTCATTTTCTTTCTATTTCACATTCTCAATTATACCATTAGGATCTTATGTACAATTATAGTTTTTCATACTAGAGAAACTATTCAGTGTTTACACATGTGTGACTTATTTCACTTAAGAGTATGGCCTCAATATGCATCCATTTTCCTATGAAGGGCTCTAATTTCTTATTCTTTATGGCTGAGTAGTACTCCATTTTATAGAAAAACCACATCTTCTTTATCCAGTCTCCAACTGATGGACAAATGGGCTGTTTCCAAGTTTTAGCTATTACAAAAAGATTCCTATTTAGATACCATAGCTTCTGCACTGGTGTGGTATATGGAAATGGATAGCCTGAGCCTGAACATACTCTTTTTCCAATATGAAAATAATATGACATGGATTACATATTTTTTGTTAAATTTGGCCAAAGCTTTTAAAATGACTTCTACTGTCATCATCATCTCAAGAAAGAATGACAATATTGACACTGAAAAAAATACACAGATATAAAAAAGACATTTTCTTAGTGTTGACTAGTTCTTTAAATTTAATAAATTTGACTTTGAAAATATTTCCCTTATTTTTCTCATATCAAGCAACATCATGCTTGTAAATAATTGCCCTAGCATCTCAAAGGACAATACCAAAAGCAAGATTTTCTTATCTAAAAATATTTTAAAATTTAAAATAACTTTTCTTGAGGAAATACTTATTTTTCACAAATTAACAACAAATCTTTTTTTTCTGAGTTATAACCAGTATCACTACTTCATTATCACAAGTAGATTTAAAAAATCTCATTGGCTAAAACTACAATTTGGATATTCTTGTTAAGTGTCATCTGCAAAATCGGGTTACATAGATACTTAGAGGGTACAAAACTATTGAGAGAGTTGGGAGGTCCAAAATGAGGAATTAGTTACTGTGGATGAGCAACTGTCACTCACACCACATGTCACTGGGCCTGTTTTGAGTAGATTCTCCAAACTGGTGTGCTACAATTCTGATTTCCCCTCCCAAATATGTTGTCCACATTCTCACATTGTGAGGTTACTAAGAAGGGTCTGTTTGGTAACAACGGAGGCTCCAATTTTTCCCTGACAAACCCCAGATGGCAAGATACATAGAGTGTGCCCCACAGATCTGTGGCACCACCTAGTGGCTGGGCATCCCTGACAAGTCCTCAGAGAAATACAGAAACACCATCTGCAGGACTCATTGGTAGGTCCTTTCTGGGCTTGCTGATGGAAATCAGGACCTACAAAAGACTTATTCATTAATCAAGTTATTTTCAGCAGCAGCAGCATTTCAGACCAACATAATAGTGAGATTCAGGTTATGATGTTTTAACATTCAAGCCATTTCACTCTTGGAACTTGTTTCCCACACTTGTGTCAAAACTTTTGAGAGTTTCTGTTTATTATGCAATAGAAAACATTTCCATGTATCCTGGGCTTCCTATAGAATTTGTTTTTCAGAGATTAAAACAAAGAAGGCAAGAATACTTTTAATTAAACACTGAAAAATAGCAGTTTTTGATACAACCAATCTCTGATGCTTGAAATACAATAAGATGGATTTCCTTCCTTGGCTGCATTTTAAAGTATAACTGAAGGTTAGAAGTGTATCTGAGATTCCATCTTATCCCAGAAATAAATCATCAAGAAATTAAATAATAACAAATGCTGGAGAGACTTCAGGGAAAAAAGAAACCCTTTCACAGTATTAAGGTACAACCACTATGGAAATCAGTATGGACAGTCCTCAGAAAAACTAAAACTAGAAATTCCATTTGACTCAGCTAATCTCCTTCTAAGTAACTTCCCAACAGTTAAAGACACCATATTTACAGTGGTACACACTGACCCATGTTTACAGCAGCCAATTCATAATAGCTGAACCTTGGAAGCTGCCCATGTGTCCACCAACAGATGAATGGATAAGGAAAATGTGCTGTTTACAAACAATGGAGTACTACTCCGCCATAAAGAAAGGTAAACTTGGGTGATTTGTATGAAAATGGGTGTACCTTAAGATCACATTATTAAGTGAAATAAATCAGACACACAAATTTAAATATCACATAGTTTTTCCTATATGAGAAACCTGGGGTAAAAATAAAATACAGAATAAAAGATAATAGGAAGTAGGGAGATTTTTCTCAAAGGTGAAGGGGATCAAGAGATGGAGGGAGAGGGAAGTAAGGGCAGGGATAAAGAATAAAAAAAGAATTTGGAGTGTTATGTACATGTGCCAACTCCCCACAAGGAATGTAAACATCAAATTTTATAGGGACCCCTATAAATACATTTAAATTGAAGTTGAATTTGTGATATTTAAGAATAAGTATTTTCTGGCTAAAAACAGCACTGAAGGACTTCTTTTAGAATAATTGAGAGAAACTGAATGCTTTCTGAAAATTAAAGACTAATAAGGATAATTGCTACTTATATAAGGTGTGATAATAAAGCTGGTCTTAAGAAAATATACTGGTTTTTCAGTGATGCATGTTAAAGTATTGAGGAGTGCAATGTCATGTTATACAAATTAGTTTTAAAATGCTTTGAGTTTATAACATAAACGTGCTATAATGGTAACAATTATTTTTAAAGATTTTATGCATGTATTTATTATGCTAGACTCTCTACTTTTCTATATTTAACGTTTATCATACGAAAACTGAAGATAAAAAGGGATAAATATATTGAATGTATCTATATATGTGTTTTTCCTTTTAGAGACTAAGATGGAGAGAATTTAACAAATCTTAAAGTGTATTTTCAAAAACAGGTGTTAATCCTTAAAGAAACATCTACGTGGGAGACCTTTTAAGCCTTCTCTTCGCAAAGTTTCTCTTTCTGATTCAATCCTTCTTGTTTATCTTCTACCCTTGTCCACAGACACAATGCTTGCAATCGGAATAATTTTGTTACCGCTGTGATCTGAACCCAAACAAGCACAAGATTAAAATTTTATTTTACTTAATTTGATGGGTTTCAAATGCATGCACACTCATTAAACAGGCGATTTGGAGTGAGATAATGAGACTGACACAGCCTTCTGAATGAGCAAAATCGCAGGATAATTGAAGTCAGCTAACAGGATTTCCAGCAGGGAATGATTTCCCCGAGTGTGTGATCTGATTTCCTTTGATGTTTGTATTACTGTAATAACATTAACAGCATCCCAAACAACACTTAATGAAATCTTAGACTTGCTATACGTGAGGACTACTCTGTCATCCAACTTGGCTATTTTCTATATAGTTTCTTTCATGTACACTATCTCAACATGTGGGCAAACCAGGAGAGAAAATTCTGGGCCAAATATCCATGTTCTCTTTGTACTTCTGAGTCCTCTCCCTGCCTTGGCCTAGGCAGATGCTGAGTGAGAAAGTGAATTTGTCAAAACCAACCAGGCACAAGTATAGGACTAATGACTGGGGCAAGTCCTGCTAATGGTGGTACTGATGATACCATAATGTGCAAGGGATAATGCCTGTACACGCTTGCAGAAAGTGGCTTTAAAGTGATTAGAAATAAAACAGTGCCATAATAAAGAAAGGTCTCCAATTACTACTTGCAATTTTATTGAGTCACTAAAGAAATTTGAACTGTGTCTTTAAAAAGCTTTTCAATGAATAATTAACACCCAGAGAGAAAGAGAGAAAAAGTCATCATCCTGATTTCACTGTCATATAAATGCAGAATCTGAAAATTCATCTGTCTTCAGAAACGTTTGAAAAATGAGAGAACAGGTTCTTGCTCTCCATTAACTCATGCGTGACTGCAATTGCTAATCCACAGGAGTGAACTGTGAGTACAGGGTTAAAAGCTATGTCTAAGGTTTTCCAGATCGGTGAGAATGACTTTATTCTTTGTGTGTGTTAGCAAAAATGGACCTGGTTCTCAGATCAGATCTAAAAATAGGGGAGGAAGGCATGCAGAAATGTATGGCTGGCTGATGAGTTAAGTACGTGCTTTATCTAAAGTTACACTAAAACCAAGTAAGTGATCTTCAGATTAAAAAATGAGTAAAAGCAGGCAGTTATTGACATTACTAGTGAAAACAAGAAAGGTATCTGGCCACTTATGGGTCCTCCCAGTAGTTAGAATCCAGTCTAACATGGGCCAAACTCACAAGGCCAATCATGAATTCTGTATTACTGTATTCTGATACAGTACCTGTGATCATCTACAAGTTTTATTAAAAGTGCTTCAAAGAGTTCACTGCATAAAAATCAGGAGAATTTCATTGATTTAATGCTGTTGATAGATTTTGAAGTGAAGCAGGTAGATGCTGTAGTCTAGGTTTCAAAAGGTGCAATGTATTCCCACTCACAGCAATCCGTCTTCTGAGGGCCCTGACCCCAAATTCAATCACAGCAAAGCAATTTGTTTTAAATTTACAGTTTTGAAAATCATTTTTTTCTCCTGTGAAGATCAGTTAATTTTTCTTTTCTTTTCTTTTCTTTTAAGGAGGTAAGGTTTATTTTGGCTCACAGCTTTTCCGTTTGAAACTCAAGCTTCTATCTGGATTTCTTAGCTAAATCTGAAAGCATGAATGTAGTACAGATCATTTGGGCACCAAATAGAAGACCAAGAAGTTCGAAAATTGATTCAGAGTTGTCTTAGGTAATTTCACTTATTTTGGCTAACATCTGCTGAGCCGCTGCTATAACCAGGGGACATGCCTGGTTGACTGTGGTACATGCTAATACATGGGGGCGAAAGGCAGTTCCTGTCTTCCAGTCAGTCTTCAGAGACCAGTTCACTGGTGACATGCAAATATTTAAAAGAATACTGTTTATTATCCAATATATTTTTCTAATTCAGTACAGACTCTTTTACAGAAATTTATCATGTCTACCCAATAATTGCAAAATCATTTTTAAATGTATAATATAAAAATATCAAAGTGTCCCCCAAAAATAAATGTTTCCAGGCACCTGAAAAATTTGGGGAACTTGTGAGTTGAATTTGATTTTTAGTTTTCTGGCAGCTAAGATGAAAAAAACGGAAATGTGGATCGTTTTTTGTTGCTTTTCCTGACATAAAGGGAATGTTTGTGCACATCTGCACAAGCAAATCCTAATCATGAGCTGACCAACATCATAACAGGTTTCGCTTTCACCAATGTGAGATGAATTTTTTTTTTGCTATACCAAGTATTTTATATAACAGAGACGGTGATTTTTGTTTCTTTTTTGTAGAGGTCATTTACTTGTCCAAATTATTTTAGATAGTACCCTTTTATTATTAGCTCAAAATACCTTACTTTTTATTATTCTCATAGCTTGCAAATTTGTAAAGAAAAATGTTCCACTTGCCTGAGAGTTGCTAAGAGTAAACATAAAGAAAAATTCACAATAAATACTCTGTAAATACTAACTATAATGTGTTCAAAAGATGAGGTCAGTGACCTTAAAAGCATTTATAAATGATTTCCAAATAGGACCTAATGGCTTTGTTGAGGTAGTCATATAATGACTTTGCTCTTTCCTCTTATTAAAAGAGTACACTATGGATTTTTAAGAACATATTTCAATTTTCATCAAATAAACTGCAACTGAGATAATTCTGGCAAAGACAAAATTCAGTGTATTATTATATGAGAAATAGTCTTATTTAACAGTTCAACTTCTAAAAGTCATTAGCAATATAATGACAATGCAATTTTGTAAGTTCTGTCTGATTTTCATAAATTTTCAATATTGTAAAGTTTGCATAAGTGTAAAAATGTTTAGAAATTGAAATTTTTTCTCATCAATTTGAGCTCAAATAATAAAGCTGCATAAATAGATTAATTGGCATACTATTGTATCATAGTGTGGGAGGGGTATTACCATTTGCAATTCAGTATTCATTCAATGAGTAAACATTTATTGACTCACACACTAAGTCCAACACTGTGTGAAGTGCTAGGATAACCTAGTGACTACGGCAGATTGTTTTTAACCTTGTGGTGCATAAATTCTAATGATAAGGTAGACATTAATCACAATATCCCACTAATATATAATTACAAATTACAATAAATACTAGAAAGATACTTGTATTGTATAGGAGATGTGATAAGAGTTTATCATGCCAACATCCGATGCAATCTAGGAGTCAGTAAGGCTTCTCTGAGTAGCTGGCAGTTTGGAGGATCAGCAGGTGTGAAGAACATGATGTCATTCCAGACAAAAGCAAAAGCAAGTACAATGTCCCTGTGGTAGAAGATGCAACAAAGGAGGAAAAAAATGCCCATGGAGTTGAATGCCAGAAAGTGTAAGGGAAGGGGCAGTGAGCTGGTGTCACAGGGGCAGGAAGGGCCGGATGTTAAGATACTGGTGTTTACTGAAAGTAATGGGAAGCTCAGACATATTTTAAAGAGGAGACTGACATGATTAGATTTGTGGGCTTTTTTATGCACAATAAAGCATATGCATTTTAAATGTACAGTTTGATGAGATTTAACAAATGAATACCGTATAACCACCATAAAAACAAGATACAGATATTTCAGTCACTCCAGAGGGTTCTCTCATGTCCCTTTCTAGTTCCAGAGACACTCTCTGAGCCTCAGAAAGTTAATATATAATATGTATATATTTTATATACAATATGTATAGTATGTATATTATATAGTATATATGTTATACATATAATATATACATAATATATACATATGTGTATTATATTATATTTTTCTTGTTATGTATTTACATAACATAATATATAAATATTGTATGACTAAATATAAAATATGTGTATTATATAATG